AACCGCAGAATGCAAGATATCTTCACCAGAATTTCCTTTGGAGTGTTGTTGTTGAGTACTTAAATTTTCATGTTTTATTAGATGTATCCGATTCTTGAAAAAATCTCTTAACAGTACTCAAAAATTTAGGAATTAAAATTTTACTTTTGTGTGGTATTTTAAGATTAAAAAAAAACTTTATTTCATATTTAATTTGAATAAAAAATTATTTTTTATTTTATTTTTTGAAAAATTAATGTATGATAATGAAATTTAAATTTTTTTAAGAAAAAATAAATATCACTAATGTTATGTTTATTGCAAAATGTGGGATAGCATTTGAGTTTTTTTTTTTTAAATGTCAAATATGACATTTAGATAAAAAAAAAAACAATAATTATGAATTTTTTTGAATTTTTTTCATTCAAATACCAAAATTATAAATTTTAAAATACAGTAATTATAAAATTTACCACGTTTCTTTAAATAAAAAAATAGTATTTGATTACTAATAATTTTTTTTTATATTTTTCTAACTGAATATTACTTTTGAAAATTTTGAAATGCAATAATTATAATCGTTTACTGTGTTTTTATTTTTCGCATGCCATTCCACTTTTTTGAAGTAGTTGATATGTGGCAGCAGCTAATATGAGTCTCTCCTGCGTTAATTGAAGATGGGATCAACGCTATGAAATGAAGGGACCAAATAAAATGTAGAAGGAACAATTGGAGATGGGACCCATGCGATGGATCTAAAATTTTTTTAGCTATCTACTTGTAATATATACAATGCCGATGAATTGTTGTAAAATAAATAATTATTGCGTTTCAGTAAAATTAAATGTACTAATTATATTTTGTAATTTTTGTAAAATATATAAAAAGTTTAATCATTGTATTTTTTTAATAAATGTAATAATTAATTATTATAATTTATTTAAAATAATTAAATATTTCATCTTTTAAAAAATAAACATAGCAATTATTCATTATAATTTTTAAAATAATCAATTATTGTATTTTGTTTAGTCATAAATGCTGTAATTATATATTATAATTTTAATAAAATAATTAATTATTAAATTTCTTTGAAAGTAAATGCAATACTTATTTATTATTTTTTTAAAATAATTAATTATTATTTTTTTAGGATAAACACAATAATTGTATATTATAATTTTTTTAAATTAATCAATTACTATATTTTTTAAAAGCTAAACGCAATAATTATTTATTATAATTTTTTTAAAACAAGTGTATAATCAATTACTGCATGAAATTAATGTAATAATTGATGACTATTTTTTTTTTTTTATAATTAGCCAGTTGAATATTGTGTTTCTACAATTTTAAATGCATTTTTTGTCAATTATTTTTATTTAACAAATTGCTAGATTTATTATGTAGTGAAAGACATTATAGTAAAAAAAATGATTAAGTAATCTCATATTCCTCCTAACTAAATATAGGAATTTAAAAATGAGATGTCATAAAAAATTACATTTTCTTCGAAATCATACTTTTTCAAAGATCATATTTTTCTCAAAATTTAAAATTTTACGAACCAAACGTCCTGTAATAATTAAGATTATATACCAATGATCAAAAGTTTGAGGGAAATTAGTATTGCAAATAGTATTTTTATTTTTTTATGATTAATGTTACGAATGGTTTTGAATAATAAATATCTAATGAGAAGCATAAATTTAAAAAAATTTTAATATAGTATTTAAATTATAAATTTATTAACTAATATAATACTTAAATATTATTTATTTATTACGTATCATCATTTTAAATTAATTATATTAGAAGTAAACACCATATTAACTAACAAATCCATAATTCAACTACCATATTTTAATTTTTTTAAAATTCTAACATTGCATTAAATATTTTATCATATTTTAAAAAGCATTCATAACGTTATATATATATATATATATATATATATATATACACACACATATATTTATATATATAATTAGAAAGGTGTCCACATAATGTCACAGATAGACATGTCAATTCATGTAATCGTATTATATAAAATATTAAGAATTCGTATATTTATATTATGTTTTTCATAAAAATTAAATGTCATAATTCATATTAATGCAAAAAAAATATTTTTTATTTATTTTGCTACAATTTTAACCTGTGTTATTTTCATTTTTTATATCTTTTTTCTGTTATTCCATTGAGTCATGTTTTGAATTATTTGATCTAATTGCGAGTAAATTTTTTTCGTTTTACCATATCTAATTATTGTTTTTTGTTGCAAAATTTATCCAATTTAAAAAATATATAAAATGAGAGAAAAATAAATGGAGATGAAACATGTATATCTTAATTGACCAACTTTTCTTTAAATTAGTCCAAAAAATATGAAAAACACCAAAAAAAAAAGTAAAAAAGTGAGAGAAAAGTAAATGAAAAAAGTTGAAAAAAACTAAAAATTAAGTTATAAAAAGAAAAAAAAAGAGCAAATAGAGGATGATACATTGACATATCATATTAAGCTTAAAATAAAAAAATTTTAAATTAAAATAAAAATAATTAATTTACTAATAGAATACATATATGTATGTATATATATATAAATATAACTAAACAAAAAATAAAAAAAATATTTTATAGACACTTCAAAATAGGTCGTAACAAAATACTATGAACACACTTCTTATCTAATCTTATCTTTTTCTTAAAAATTTAACTTGCCGTAATTCAATCTTGATTTTTGAAAATCATCCATTTGTTGAATTAAGATAAATAAAGAATCATGAGATACGAATTGTTTTGACATATTTATAAAATTGTAAATTGTGTTACAAAAATTATCTTATTAAAAAAATGCAAAAAGAAAAACTAAAAAAAAAAAACTCAAATGGACTGCCATGTGAAAATCATAAAAAAAAAAAAAGCAAGATTGGGGTTAAAGTAAAAAAAAAAAAAAAAAAAAACAAAGTAAAGGAAAGCTCATTGGGGTATTATACAAATTATTTTGTCATTGTTATGAATAAGCTCATTTTATTATAAATTTTACTTTATTAAAAAAATCAAAAGTAAAAAAAATAAATCGGGTATCACTTAGGCATCTATATTTTTTTGTCACAAAATTTATCAAAATAAAAAATCCATAAAAAGTTAAAAGAGAAAAGAGAAAAAAAAAAAATGGCACGTTGAGACTTTAAATGAAGATCAAACAAAAAAATTGAATTAAATTTATATAATAAATGAATTTCATTTTAATTATGCATAAATATAATTTTTTATTAAATTAAGATATTAAATAATAATTTTATTAATATAATACATATATAAATATAAAATTAAATAAATAATTTAAACTATAATTTAATATATATAATTAAGGTAAAACAAAACACCATAATTTATTTTTGATTTGGTCTTAATTTTTTGTAAAATAATGCTATTAGATTCAAATAAATTAAAACTTATCGGATGTGAGTTATTTTATACCCGTATCACTATTAATTTTTTTTTTGAAAATTAATTTATCGATTGTCTTTGTTATCAATTATCTAATTTAAAATATATAAAAAAATAAAAAAAATGATGACACGAGTATAAATAAGTGATTTTTTCTTAAAAAATTATCTAATTAAATAAATAAAAAATAATGGAATAAAATAAGTTGAGTTGCACGTTACATTGGTAATTAACTTTTCTTGTAAAATTTGTATTATATATTTTTATTTTTATTTACTTTTTTATATTTAATTTTTTTATTATATTGTGATTTTTTGTTTGCAAAGCCAATTTGATATTATTGATTAAGAAGATCATTTTTCTTATATTATAAAATTTTAAAAAATTTTAAAAAAAATCAAATCTAGATATCATGTTGATACATCCATTAATATATTTCTATACAAAACTATTTAATTACAAAAGAAGGTACCAAAGTTATTCTAATTATTAATAAAAATTACCCTCCCCATAAAAGAATAAATAAAAAATATTTATTAAATAGAAAAGTGGAAAAAACAGGAATAAAAAAACTAAAGAAAAAAATAAAAAAAATTAAGTTGACACATAACACCGGCAACAATTATTTTTTGACAAATTTATATCATGAATTTGAAAAAAAAAACCAAAAGAAAGGACAAAAAAATTAAATTAAGATATGACGTTGACCTCCTCGTTAATAATTTTTAAAATATCATATAAAAAATAACTAAAAATAATATATTTAATAATAATATCAAATTTGTTCATCAGTTAAAAAAATATTTCAAATATATTTATTAAATAAAAATAAAAAATTTATCAACAAGAAAAAAAATTAAACAGTAAAAGTAAAAAATAAATAAATTATTTGTTACTCACATATTTTTGACAAATTGATAAAAAATTAAAATCTAAACAATAATTTATTAAATATAAAAAAAATGAAAAAATATATAAAATCAAAACTTAATTAAAAAGAAACACAACATTTTGTATCAACTAAGTAATAAAAATATATAATAAATAATTAAATTTTTTTAAAAATTAAGAAATGTATCCCTTCGAAATAAAAAACCTCGCCACCCTAAAAGATTAGTAAAAAAAACAGATTCCAAAAAAAAATTATAATAGAATAATGGGTTTCTCCCAAAATAATGGATCCCTTTGAAATAAAAAAAATAAAATATATAAAAAAATTTGAAAGTTTTTAAAAGACAAACCGTAAAAAAAAAAAAAAAAAAAGAGAGTCGCACAAAGCACAAAGAATTGTGAATCTTACTTTCAAAAATTTTTTATAGAAAATATAAAGAAAAATGAAAACATATAAAAAATGTAAAACTGAAAAAAAAATTCAAAAAAAGTGAATCCCAGCCCTCATTGGAAAAATATAAAATACATAAAAAATTTGAAAAAACCAAACCGAAAAAGAGTCCCACCAAAAACAAAAAAATTGTCTCATTTTAAAATTTTTTATAATTAAATATAAAAAGTAGAAATATATGATATTAAAAAAAATAAAGAAGTAGAGCGCACCAATAAGAGAAAGCTATGAGAACCCCAAAAACGTTTTATAATAAATATGTAAAAAATTAAAAAAGAAATCAACACGTGGAGTGGACAGTGCAATCCAATCTACAGTACATAGAGCACCCAATCTGCAGGTTTTTCACAGTAGATATGCATTCAAGTTTAGAACACCATTGCTACTTAAGACCCGCTTTCAAAGTTTTTATTACCTCGTAAGATATGACATAGCTTCATAAGAAAAAAACCATAGAGCACCACTGCTACAATACCCAAGTATTTCCAAGCCCAACAAGAAACAAACCATAGAGTAGACTACCACTGCCATAACTGAAAACATACATGAAAAATAGAAAATTGCACCACCAAACCCATGGATAAAGTTCATCAAGCTCTTTTGCAAACCTCCCCATCACAGACCCAGCCTTCCTTTGGACTTTCTTCCTCCTTTTCATCAGCTTTGGTTTCTTTATCTTTTTCCAGGGCACACTTTGGATGCAGATCAAAGTCACATTCTTCACAGTAGAATGACCAGATTTGTCCTCGTTCATTGCATTTATCACAATAGTAAGACCTGCGACGAGTTAGCACCAGCTCATGCTCCTCATGCAGTTCATGTTTTAGCTTCTCAGGCCACTCCTTTGCCATCTCCTTTGCCGTCTCCTCATACTTCGCCTCAATCTCCTTCAAACGCTCCTCAGTGAAAGGATAAGCATCGGCCCCATGGTCCATTATCAGATTCCTGGTCTCATTTGTAACAGCTTTTCCAGTTGGTCCGATGGTAATAAGCATAGGGATGCCTTGGACCTTGAATTTGCGACTCAACAATGGCTTCCTAGCATCACCAAAAGGAAGTGCCAGCCAGGGCATTTCTGAATAATATTCCTCAAAGGAGGCTTGATCCTTGTCACTAGAAATAAAAACCACTTCAAACGCTTCATCCTTTGCCTTGATCTTGTTGTATGCTTCAACAAGTTTTGGAGTGAAGGCACGACATGGGGGGCACCAATGTGCTGAGAAGTACAAGAGAACAGTCCTCCCTACCAAGTCAGTGACCTGAACCTGAAATGGGATATAAATTGATTACTCATCAGAAATATGGGGCTGAGTTGAGTAGCCTTGCTGCCAACCATTGCTTATACTCGTATGGAGCATGAAATACTTGAGAAAAAATAGTTAAAGAGCTGTGAAAGAGAATGCGGGCAGAATATGGTGGGGTGTGTAGTGACAAAACTATGGTCTAATGCATGACTAGTGACTAAAGTGAAGCTAAAAAAATGCTGAAGAAACTCCAAATCAATATAAGGTCAAATCATTTTGGTTAAAACAGAATTTAAGGTTGAGAGGATATTGAAGAATTAGCAGCATCTAAGGAAACCTAAAAACCATACCTTAGCACCATCCTTCCCAATGACAAAATCCAGATCCCCTGAAATCAGAACCGATTCCAGAGTTTGTGCTGCCTCTCTTGCTTTCTCTATTTCTGCAAGCTCTGCAAATTTTTCAGGGGTGAAGGGATAGGCCTGAATCCCATGTTCTTCAATAGCTTCAGCAACATTAGAGTGAAGAGTTTTCCCATCTGGCCCAATAATAACAATAGTTGGAAGGGTAGAGAGCTCAAAGTACCTAGTCAATTTCTCACAGCTCTTGTCTTTGAAAGGCACTGCCAACCAAGGTGCCACAAAGCTTTCCTTGAAAGATTCCTCTTCATCATCAAGGGATATCACAACAATCTCAAAATTCTCCCCCTTTTCCTTCAATTTCTTATAAACTTCGGCAAGTTTTGCAGTAAAATCGGCAGATGGCTTGAAGGTAGACACTGCAAAATATAGACCTACAGTCTTCCCCTCAAGTTCAGACACAGGTACCTAGTATACAAATAAAGAACAAAGTACAGATTAGGATAGCAATGATAATTTCAAACCCATCCAAAAAAGCCATAAAAACTACAACTGCGTTGTAAACAATCAGCACAGTTATCAAAGTTACCTTGTTTCCATCAGATGTAACTACAAAGTCGCGTGAACGGGAAACCAAGATAGTTTTTATGGACTGTTCAGTCCTGGCCTTTTCTTCTAAATCTTTTAATTCTTGGATCTTTTCAGGGGTGAAAGGATACCCTTCCTCTCCATACTCTCGAATGATCCCAACTCCGTCATCAGTGGAGACTTTCCCATTTTCATCCAAGAGCACAAGATGAGGTATTCCCATCACCTTGAACAACTTATCCAACCCCTCACGTGTTTCTGAATCAGAAAAAGGGATTGCAAGCCATGGCATCTTAGAGAAGTAACCGTCGAACGACTCTTCATCTTCATCTCCCGAGATAAAAATGATCTCAAAATCGCCTTTGGGAGAGAGTTCAGAGTACACCTCCACTAACTTAGGGGTGAATCTTCGACACGGACCACACCATGATGCTGAGAAATACAATCCAAGTTTCTTCCCCTTCAAACTGTCAATTTTAACCTGTAAAATGAAAATCTCAGGCTACATTGCCAAACATAATTACCGCAAAGAACAGAGAAAAGAAAAAACCTTCCAACAGTGACAGTTATCCAGATCCCACTAAAATACACAGGATAATATCCAACAAACCATAAAGCTCATATACCTTAAACGAAAATCACAACAGTAGATCTCACACTATTATTATTCATCAGGTCCAGTCATTAAAAAACATATTAAAATAAACGTGTAGAGACAGATATGATTATTATTATTGAAAAGTATAATATTTACCCAATATAACTCGTCAATTTCATTTGAATTAGGCAGCCAATGGAAAGCTCCAAACCCAGTTCAGAAAACATCGTAATCATTATCCCAGTTGACTACATCTATCTTAAAAGAAACAAAACTCATTCCCAAAAATGTAATTTCCAGCTTTCCCTTCTAGAAGATTAAAACTGAAGCACAGAGAGTTTAAAAGGAAAATCCTAAACTCAACTGTTTTCCTCTTCTAAAAGAAAAAACCCTGTTAATCAAACATTGATAAAGGTTACAAGAAGACAAAAATCAGACAAGAAAGATTTGTTCTACCGGACTTAGTTACCTGATCACCGTTGTTACGGACGAGGAAATCCCTGTCTGAAGAAGACAGAAGCGACTTAAAATCGTGACAATCACCGTTGATCGTTTCAGCAACATTGTTTTCAGCCTCAGCCATTGTCGAAACAGAAAAATTTTCGGTTTGGTAATTTTTTTTTTCTTTTGGGTGATGAGTGAAGGTAACAGCGTTAAGCCACTGCACCCTTCAGCTGCTGATTTATAGCATATAGCATAAGGAGGAATAAGAAATGGTCCGGACGCTTCTAGAATTTTCATTTTTTTGTTTTCTTGACAAAGAAGGCAGGGGCAAGGCAAGGCCGACATCCACGTTGCCGAGAGTCCATGGGGACCAATGGCGTCAAGGGATGTCGCATCATGTTTGTTTTTTAATGTAATTTCGTTGGAGTTTCCTGCTTAACTGTTGACTTCTCCACGTTTTCATTTCTAAGTCTTCTGATCTTATCTTTTTTTTTTTTTTTTAAATATTACAAACTTTGTCATTAAGGAAAGAATAAAGAAGAATAAATAAACTAGTGAAATATTCATTCGGTATAAAATTTATGAGTTATGAATTAAAATTTTAGTAAAAATTATATATAAATTTAAGAAAATTTAAAATATTTATTTAGTGTTTAATATATTAAACATAAATTATAAAACTAATTTTTAAATTTTATATGTATTTAATTCAAAACAATAAAAATATAAATAAACTACAGGAATTACCTATCTACCTACACAGACAAAGCATATTCAAAGATGTTGATACCGGAAACTTATTTTCATCTCGGTTGAACTGCAAAAAGCTAAAACGTAAAATGTAACTGCTAGACAAAAACGTAAATGAAATTGACGATCACATCGGATAAAAAAGGCAAGATGAGTTACAACAGAACCGGAAATCCAGAAGCCGACTTCTTATTGTTATCAGCATTTTCTTCGACCACGGAAACATCTTTGCTTTTGAATTATGGAATAAAACAGAAATAGAAGCTCCTAAATTGATGAGCTTACTTTACAACCAATTTCGAGATTCCTTTTCTCCGGCTGATCGATAAGATTCGTTCTCCTTGAAGCCTGAATTCCACATCATAGTTAATAGGACTTTAAAGTCTCATTGCAGTCCATTAAATATTGAGTAACACATAAGAGATATTGTTCGCTCGCCAACTTGTTAAATATTTATCCACTTTTACCTGTTGAATCCCACGATATTGCCGTGAAAAAACAACCTAAAATCGAAGACATACAAACATTTAAATAGCCAATCAAATTCTAATACATAATCAATGTAAAATTATTAATAACTTCCTTCAAGGCCACGACAGCTGGCAAAAAACAAAAAAAAAACTGAAAGTTTGATGGTAGCAAAAGCGAAGGAATGGATTGGGGAGAAATTTAGAAATTACACAGTTATAAAGAATAGGTGACATAAGGCATGGACTTCAAGGGGCCTGGAATGCTAACACTTCCAAAAATATTACGCTACTAACTACAATTACAGACTTATTATGCCCAGAGCCAGGTCCCAAGTTTTCCCAGCGCTCGATCTAAAGTATAATGTAAGCTTCTTAAAATTAATAGCAAAAAGAAAAGAAGTAAAAAATATATATAATAATATTAAATGTGCAAGCTTGCAGGTCATGGATTTCCAATTGTGGTCACAAAAGGCACCAGCCTTCTATATTCCCTTCTTCTCCCCAGGGCGCAGCTGTCAAGCACCCGCCCGAGGATCAATCGAGTGTTTTGCAAAGCCACCTCTCTAGGTGTCATAACTGACTCGGTGGAAACTGCTTGTGGAACTGATGTTGAACTTACCCCGAAACCAGATACCATAGCATACTGTAGTGGCCCACTTCGAGCCTTAAATGAGGTCTGAGGAGCTAGCACCTTGTCATCTGTCCCATTTTCAAATGGCCCAGACTCAAGTGGGTGTGAACCAGGCACTGAACTACAACTCTGCAAAAGCGCTTCTAACACACTTAGTGCCTCCCAACACAAGGTGCTCTCAACTAGCTGTGATACAATGGCATACATGTGTGGGCTCTGAGCTGAATCCATGGGAGTATGCTGGAGCAATGCCTTAAGCATGAGCAATATCACACGTTGATACTCAACTGGACCTCTCTCCAGTAGCCGTAGCAGGTGTCCAAAAGCCAGAGCTGAGTGCTTAGGGAGCCATTCGTTGGACAATAACGGTGAGACACAGGCAAGGAGATTATCAATGCTTTTGATCTCACCTCTGGTGTAAGCCAGAAGCACGGTGGCTAATTCATCCAATGATTCTGCTCGACACCAAATTGAGATGTTGGCAGCAACAGAGCAGGCTTTGTGGTACTGTTGTTGCAGTGGTGAAGTTGGGCCCCACCAATGGGTCTTTGCTGAGCTGTAAGCAAAGCCAGGGAAGCAATCCTGTAATGTGCATCAGTAGTCTAGTCTCACGATCACCAAAAATTGAGTCACATGAGTGCACTGTGATACGAGAGAGGACCTCAATTGCTACACCATGACTAACAGTGGACATGAGTCCTTTAAGTACCAGGGGCTGCACTCCTTCAAATGCTGGCAGATTGCCACTGGTTTTTGGCAAATCATAGCCCCTATATTCCAATACGTGCGAAACTACAAATCCCCAATATCAAACATTATCAAGCTCATCTCGAGGCATGCTGGAAAGGATAACATTTTCAATTGTTCTGTCCGGAATGATAAACGGTCAATCACACGCGAGAAAAGCTCAAGAACCTGGCAGTAGACAATGGAATGAATCTTGTCATCATGGCCACACAACCCAAAAGAGTTGTGGGTAGAGAATCACCTTTTCTGGCTCCATGTTCTCCACACCATTACTTGCAAGGTCAGTAAAATTTCCATGATGAAGCCCAGAACAGGGGGTATTGGATTTCCAAAGCATCTATGTAGGCAACGAAGGAGTAACACACATGTATCACTTGTAAACTAGGGCGCAATGCACGATAGATCTGGTGAGAACGACAGGCAAGGTGTCTTGACGTGCATTTCCATAGCCGCATTTGAGTGCCTCAACACCCAAGTCTCACGAAGATCTCTTGGAAGAAGATTGCATCAACCATACTCTGAACAGTGCAGACAGAAGTGCAGCACTAGGAAGCTCAGTCCTGTAACTGTAGGGTCTCATTCTCCACACATCATGATCCCTCGCTTTGACTGAAACATACTTGATCAAACTGACAACCTGCTGCTTGTTCTCTCCATCATTGCTTTCAACCTCATACAGCTCCAAGTGCCGACCTGCAAGTGAGTATAGTAGATTAACAAGCAAAATGCTGGCAGTGCTCCAGTACAATATCCTCTGAGCTTCCATTGAAACAAATGTGACGTGAAAGAGCAGAGGTAAGTGCTCAACGAAAGTCTTCATCATTCTCATATGCAATTTCTGCAAGTAGAATCAATGCTATATCTGCATGAGTAAGTGAGTGCTGCTGATGCCCTTGCAAAGCTGACTGAAGTTCTTTAGCATTACACCATGCATCCAACCCAGAATGCAAGATAT